CGCCCACAGCTCTTGGAACCTCTGGCTCTTCTTGTCCATGATGTCCCGCGGGTGCTGGATGGTCTTATCACCGTCCACGAGTGAATGAGGTGCCTGTGGTACCTCCCGAATGGCCCTGTGGAGGGTGGACACCGCGTTCTGAGACTCTGTCCATTCACGAAACTCGGCCAGAGACTGACTGATGGCCCTCCTCTGGCTTCTCTGCGAAATACGTTCACTAAACTTGACTGCCGCAGCCAGCTCCTGTGCACATAAGGTATCAACCGTAGACGTGAGCTGCAGCCAAGAAACCCACGAGATGCCGTCATTCTGTCTGATGACCTGGTGCCCCTTATCAGGGGCCTCCGAAGCTAACCTCTTACACGTTGAAACTAACAACTCTTGCTGCTTGACACCATTCTTTCTAGCCAGATGCTTGGCATATGTATCCAGCACCACATGGGCCCTGGTCCACCATCCACTGATGCGATCCCTCATAGGTGCAATCCTGGACGGCGTCGCTTCCAAGACAGTGTCGGTACGGAACTTGGGCCCCTCGGCGCGAGATCTCCCAAGGCTGGCCTGGCCATGATGCGAGGCGAAGCTGGCCTCCACAGTGCGAATCCACGCGCCGAAAAGACTGCTAAGACTGCCACAATGATATGAGCCAAGAGAGTGTGCAACGGAACGGACGATAGCATCAGCAGGCGGGTAAGTACCCGACGAAATTAAACCGACGTTTTTCCTTTCAGCACTCCAGGTGGCCTCTGCTAGCTTAAATTCAGCGTTGGATTTTAAATTCCCCTCAGACCCTGTGGGCGATGGCTCCTGATCGTGAGACTGTTGCTCGGGGCTACTATCTGGGGGGCTCTCGCGCTGGGCTGAATTACTCATTGACTGTGCGGGAGGCAGAGAGGCAGCGGGTGGGGCGGGGTCGGGTCCGAAGCTGGGCTCGAAGGCCCACGGGTCCTCTTCCTCGTTGGAATCGTACCCGTCACCTCCCAGCGGCTCGCCGACACCTGTTTCGGCTTCGCTGAGGGGGACCTGCGGACCACTCGTCCCCTCCTCCTCCACACTGACACTCTCAAAAGGAAACCATTCACGAATTCTATCGTTTCGCTTTTGCTTGGCCAGCTGCTGTGCTAACCTACGCTCTACCTTAGCTCGGCTCGACTTCGAACCTTCCACAGGCTGCCTAGCTGGACGAGGCGCCGATGGGAGCTGGGGTGGAAGATCCAGAAACCTGGTATACAGCTGGCTACCCTCTGGGATTAATTCCAGACTGAGGCCGATGTGGGGTTTCCACGGAACGTCCAGGACGGCCCTGAGCCCCAGGATATAAGGCCTAGCAGCCTCGGAACACAGAACAAAATCTAAAAGCGAGGGGCGATTTTCACCTGGTGTGCAAGTGAACTCAGCCTCAGACGTGACGACGATGCCTGCAACCTTTTCCACGAAACCTGTGGCGCACAGCTGCGCGGGCGACATGTTCCAGTCACCGGTGGCAATCCATGGCAACTGAAGTGATGCAAGCAAACTGCCGATGCGACGCATTCGAAGGATGTTGTCGCCGCTGAAACCGATCCCCGTGTATCCGTATATGATGCACACCACCAGCGAAAAACCACGCATATGCAATAATACAGGTAGGAACCCATCAAACGCTGCACATCGATCATGACGAAGGGCAGGGGAATTACGAGCAGCGTCAAGAACCTGAGCAGGGCGATGGTTACGAACCAACATCCACTCACCTCCTTCATTCGCTCGAGCTTCCTGATATGGGTGTACCTGTTTCCATCTACTCTTGGCTCTAGCGCCATTGGCCAGCAACTTCAAACCTGCACCGCGCGCCTTGGATGTCCACTTGCCAAGGTCTCGCTGATGCACATGTGTCTCGCACGCGGTGACATAGTCGTGCGTCCGAGACGTCTGACAAAGATATCCCCAAGCTTTGTCCCCCATGCAGGTTGTGTTGCCGAAGAAAAGTTTGGTCGAGGACTTCGCCGATGACGAAGTCGATGCAGTAGTGCTGGTCCCAGTACTGGTCGTACTGCAGCTCCCCGATGACGACGTTGAAGCACCAGTGCCTGTAGGACTGCTGCTGCCCGTAGTGGTCGTCTCCATGGACGACTCCCCCAGCGGAGCTGTCGCAGCCCCTAGTCACAGCTCCTCGTTGTCAGCGTCGGGGACCTTGACGTCGTCACCCTTTCCGCCGCCGCCGCCGCCCTTGCCCTTCTCCACGGCCTTCGCCGCGCCGAACCTGGCCTTGGAGATGGCGGCAGCGGCCTCCTTGACCTGCGCCTCCGTCGGCGTCGAAGCCGTGCCAGAGGCGCCCGTGGGAGCACCAGCCACGTGCGAGGCACTCGCAGCCGCAGCTGGCGCTGCAGCTGCTCCCTCGGCGCCTCCAGCAGCCGCAGTAGGAGGTACGCCCTGACCACCTCCATCACCCGCGGCAGCTCCTTCATCATTTCCTACTGTGCGCCTCTTCTTGTTCATGCGCTCTACAACCTCCTTCTCGAACTTGTCAACCTTCTCGAGGAAGGCACGTACCTGGACATCCTTGGACTCGAAGGCAGTACGATACTGATCGAGTTCGCGTTTTAACTCTCGCAGCTGCTCTTTGTCGCTCTCCTCACAATCCCAGCTCTCGAACTGGTCGAAAATTGCCGAGTTGATGCGCAGCTCGAACGCGGGCACCTGATCACCAGAGGCGGCCGTGGTCTGCGTGGCCTGCACTCCCTCGGCTTTCGCCAAGGCCTCGGCTGCTCGCTTCTTGTGGATCTCGGCGAGCGCCAGATCCTCAGCTGCCTTCTGTTCCTTGCTCTCCGCCACCTGCAACTGCTTCCTCAAGCGCAGGACCTGCGTCACCGTCTGCTCGTGGCGGTGAGATGCCGCGCGCCAGGCCCCATCGGCCTTGCGCACGGCCTCTGCCTCCGAGACGGGCTCCTCCTGCTGCACCTTCTGCTGAAGCCGCTCCTGCTGGGCTGCCAGCGCCGACTTCAGCATGACGTCGTCGGACGCCTCGGCCGCCTCCTTCAAGAGCGCCTGCACCGTCGCATACTGCTTGGCCTTGGCACCAGCCTCGCCCTTGCCTCCGCGTCTGGGGCTGGGGCTGCGAGGATGTCGGCCAGCGTGAACTTTGCCTGAACCCGCGACGGTGCCGCCGTCGTCCTGCAGCTCGATCTGCTCCACGTGCTCGTCGAAGGAGACGCTGGGGGCCCTCGGCACATAGAGGCGGATCTTCTTGCTGCATGTGGGGCACTTACCCCCAGACGCGGCCAACTTGTCATTGTACTCACACGTTTTGCAGTGCGCGCACCGACTCCATGGTCGAGACGGCCTCCCCCGACTGGCGGGACGAGCTGGACGCGCCACATCTGCTGTCATTCCTGCTTTCGTTAGCCTGGCGAGTGTGGGCGAGACTCGCCAAGCTATCCCTCAAGCACCCCGAGGAGGTACAGGGATCGGGCTCTGGCAAAATGCTCGGGCCCAATTGGCTTGAGAGGAGGGAGGAGGGAGGAGGGAGGAGGGAGGAGGGAGGAGGGAGGAGGAGGGAGGAGGAGGAGGAGGAGGAGGAGGAGGAGGAGGAGGAGGAGGAGGAGGAGGAGGAGGAGGAGGAGGCGGAGGCGGAGGCGGAGGCGGAGGCGGAGGCGGAGGCGGAGGCGGAGGAGGCGGAGGCGGAGGCGTAGGCGGAGGCGGAGGCGGAGGCGGAGGCGGAGCCCAGCAATGGCGATGCGTCCTGGCTCGCCTATGGGCCCACCAGGCAATGCTCTAAAAAACCCCTTGCGGGCTGCACGACACGTTCTTGGAGCATTTCTGGCTGAGACTGTCTTGTTTTCGCTCATCGACTCCATGTTCGAAGAACAGTGCTTCTGTCCGTATACCATTCTTTGGCTCTCTAAGAACACTTCGTGGTAGGCCTGCAAGGAATGCCGGGACTGTCGGTCCCTGCTCAATGGAGAATGTCGGCCAGCTTGCCGGCCGCCTCCGACGACAGGCTGGGTTATGAGGAAAATCCTGGAGGCCTCGCGCGGCGCGTAATAGTAGTACTATCTGGTCCACACGCCAGTTCCGTAAGCTATGGGTCGACGCTCGCGAGGCGATGCTCTGGAGTCAGCCCGACGTGAATCCGACGCAACTCCGACGCAGTCCGACGTGAACCCGGCGTAAATCCGATGGGTGGGAAGGTGTCGATCCCCGATCGCCCAGTAGGCCACCCCCAGGTTTAAGTCGGGCCTGTCCCTCCACAGGAGGACAAGTCCCAAACCAGTAGCAAGAATGGTCTGGGGACGACTTTTGTCTAACATCCCCCTGCAGGAGGACAGGCCCGACTTCGCCCCAGGGGCGCGACGCCGCCGCGGGCCCCGCGCCTCGCGGCCCGGGCCGGCGCCGAGCGCCCTCCTCCCCAGGGCGGCCTTGCGAGGGTGCGCAGACAGGCGCGCAAGCCGCGGGGCGCGAGGCGCGCAGGTGGGTGGCCCTCCTCCTCCTCCTCCTCCTCCTCCTCCTCCTCCTCCTCCGGGGGCCCGGAGGGCAGGGGGCCGGGAGTGGGGGGGGGAGGAGAGGCAGAACCCAAATCGAGTCGTCAACGAAAAGCCGAAAGCGCCCGAGGAACTTGAGACGCCGCTGGCGCAAGCCACCGAGCCCGAATCGGGGCGGTCGAGCGAGAACGCCAACAGGCCTGGCCCGAGCGGGCTGCCTGGGCGGCGCTACGTTGCGCAGGGTGCATGGCTTCCCGCGCGCCGTTACCGCACGGTAAGCGGCGGGGACTCGCCCTGCACCTCCTGCGGCGGAGGAGGAGGAGGAGAGGACGAGGAAGCGGGGTGGGGAGGGGAGACGAGCGACGCGCCCGTTTTGGGGTGGAACCCCGAAAGCGCCTTGGCCAGAACAGCCAACTGTGCCTTCTTGAGGCGCTTCTCCCTCGAGAAGCCCATGCATACCGATCGAAGCTTGCACTTGGGGCTCACGCGCAAGCGGGGTGAGAAGGAAGCGCATCATCGGCATACGAGCGCGTGCCCGACCTGCACCACCTGGTGGCCTCTCTTGGAGAAGCAGCTCATGTCGATGGGGGGGATCGGCACAACCACGCCCTCAGGCGGCTCACCCGACTCGGCCTCCTCCCCATCGACGTGAAGGGCGGACGCGGCCAGGAGCGCAAGCCCCACCGTGGCGCCCGCTCCCTCGTGGAAGAAACGCCCCCTGCGCCTGGCATCCTCTAGATACAGTGCAGCCCCGAGCCTACGCTCAGGCGTGGGCTCACACAGTCCGTGCGAACGATTCCGAAGAGAGCGAAGCGTGGGCTCAGTGCATGCCGATCGATTGCATTCCTTGCAACGGACCTCGCCGGTGTCCGGAAAACGTACAAACTGTTGCTGAGACGAATTGAGAAGGGCCGCGCGCGGGCCGCTGGGATTCCGTTCACCCCGCTCCTGGCTCCAGAGTCCAAGCTCTGCAATCCTGGCCACCGCAAGCCCGAGGAAGCGTGCGTGAGACTGCACGGCTTCGATTTGGAGATCTAACCCGTCAACATACTTCTCTGGCAAGGCGTGGGAAAGGGCTCCGAGGCGGGCAAAATAATCGGCCTATGCGTTCCCTTGCACATTTAACACCGAAATCCCTTTTTCCAGCGCGCCGTCAATCGTGAGGTGCGACGGGACCCAAGCGAAGTCGGGCACCCCTTTTTTCTCCGCAGCCTGAAACAGCGAGCGCCACACGCCTGGGTAGGTGCCCCTGGACGAGGCGAGGCGGGGGTTCCACCCTTGACCTTCCTGGACAAAACTGAGCAAATCGCTGACAATGAGCACCCTGCCTGGAAAGAGTTGCACGGCGCGGAGGCCCGCCACTCGCTCTGCTCTGCCTATGGACTGCAAGACCCCCGGAAGGCCTCCATACGCGGCTCGAATGGGCACACCGTGGACATCCACCTGCACGCAGCTCCAGCCGCAGCGAGTGCCCTCGGGAGTTCGGTTCCCGAGCCCCGAACCGTCAGTGTAGACGACGCCTCCCCATCCCGCCTGATCAGACGACCAATCCCCCCAATACTCAATTGGCAGAGAGTCAGGGACCGGAGCGGGCAGGCTGGGCTCGACAGGAAGACCTATCGTGATATCAAATCTGTCCCAGCACGCACCGAATCCCGAAAAACCCTTGTCTCTCCAGAACTCGCGCGTGGCCAGAGCAGCCTCGGAAAAAGGGGGCTCCTCCTCCTCCCCGTGACAAGCCAGGAGGGGAGCACAATCAAAAAGCTCGTGCCCTAGAGTACCCTGCGGAGCACCGCAGGCCAGGCACGCGGGAGAGGCGACCAGCCCATGGCGATGTTGCCGTTCTTGGGGCCGACACGCTCCTGACCAGAGCGTTCGCAGCCCGCGAGCCGCCACGCGAAGGACCCCTCCTTTGCTCCAAAGGCAGGCCCTCAAGTACGGGTGCCACAAGCGGAGACCCCCTGTATTGCGGTCAGAATGGTGCTCGAGGGTGCGCCGATGCTGCCAGCGCTCAATACCTGCTATCAAATACTGCTCAAAATCTCTCGGAGGGGTGGTGAGCAACGAATGCGCAGTCCCCAGATCATCCCGGACAAGAGTGGAGGAGACCATGGACCACCCGTCTCTCTTGAGAGTGAGAAAAACACTGGAGAGCGGACCCCGGACCCCTCGCCACGCAGGTCTGGCCAGCAGGCGAGGCTCCAAAAGTCGCCAAGCCCTTTCCAACTTACCGAGGGGGAAGGACTGGTCTTAAATAACACGCACATGTTGCATGACGGGCTCAAGCGTGCAATGATATATAGGATCGTACAACCGAACTTTCTGGGTGGCCAAAAACAAAGTGATGCTGCTGCTGCCCCCCCTTGTTCCTACAAGGGAGGCGGCCTTGTGCCGGAGCTCGCGCAGCCGTGCATCTGGGATCCCAGAGACGGCTGCTCCATGAACGGCCGAACTGAGAAGGCCAGTCCTCCACAAGCTGGCAACTTTAGAACCGACGGCGTTCCGCAGAGAAACCACTCTGTGCAAGCCAAACCGGACCCCCTCCCACTGGCGCCTCCGGCCCGTCCCAGGAAGCTCATGTCCAAGGTTGCGCATATGCCGCCGATTTTTGACCTTGAGCGCAGACGCACCGGAGCTGAACCCTTTGACCGCCTGGAGCGGGCTGGAGGAGAAAACCGAGGGGCTTCACCTCCTCGCAAAAGACACGAGCGGCCCGGAGCAATGCGCGTGCCTCTGCGACTCGCTGGCCCAGCCATTGGAGACTGGCGTCGTCGAGGAGAGACCTCGGGAGGACCGAGTCCGAGGTCGACTCGACCAGAGGGGGGTGGGGAGGAGGCGGAGCGAGAGGGGGCCCTGGAGGCGAGGGGGAGAGGGGAGGAGGAGGAGGAGGAGGAGGAGGAGGGAGGAGGAGGAGAGGAGGAGGAGGAGGAGGAGGAGGAGGAGGAGGAGGAGGAGGAAGGAGAGTGAGGAGGGAGGAGGAGGAGGAGGAGGAGGAGAGGAGGAGGAGGAGGGAGGAGGAGGAGGAGGAGGAGGGAGGAGGAGGAGGAGGAGGAGGAGGAGGAGGAGGCAGGAGGAGGAGGAGGAGGAGGAGGAGGAGGAGGAGGAGGAGGAGGAGGAGGAGGAGGAGGAGGAGGAGGAGGAGGAGGAGGAGGAGGAGGAGGAGGAGGAGGAGGAGGAGGAGGAGGAGGAGGAGGAGGAGGAAGGGGAGAGGGGGGGAGGAGGAGGAGGAGGAGGAGGAGGAGGAGGAGGAGGAGGCGGTGGCGGAGGAGGTAGGAGGAGGAGGAGGAGGAGGAGGAGGAGGAAGAGGAGGGGGAGGAGGAGGAGGATCGAGGATCGAGGACCGAGAATGCACGGGAGTCCGCAGTCGACCACGCCGCCGCGGCCCCGCGCGCGCCCGCGCTAGGCGCGCGTCGGGCACCGTCAGGTGCCTGGGAGGGCGCGAGGCGTGCCGCAGCAGGCGGCACCCTCCCCCTCACTACCACTCCAGGGCAGAATATCTCTGCGGGGGGAGGGGCGTTGGTCAACCTCCCCCCGAACCATGAACTCCCACAGGTCAACCTCGTACAGCACGACGGTGTCCATCAGCTGCTCGTCGAACCTCGGATATCTTTCCTCCATTCGGGGGCCACGTTCCATCTGGCCAGCATTGCCCAGCCTTGGGTGGCAGCCCCATCTTCAGTCTCTTCAATACCGTCTCTCCACTGGCGGTGACCCTGTCCCTGCACTCATCGGCAAGCATGGACAGTCTTCCTCGTCCGTCACTGTTGTGCGATGCCACCAGCGCACACCTCCAACACCAGAACTGGCCATGGGCAACGGCGATGTGGTGGCTCGGGTGGATCACCTTGTCATGTATACCTATCATCTCGTTGCTGGGTACATGGACTGCATGCCCATGATCTGCTCGATGGGTTTCGTAATGTCTTCCAACACATCTTTTATTATTCATCCAGTCGATCACGCTGTACTTGCCTAGCGATTTCCAGCATTCTGTGCAAACCCACAAACCCTTCCGCTTGTTCATGCTGTGCCCAGACACTTGTTCCAATTGTTGTCATCGCTGTCTGGCGGCTTGTCTTGGTGCAGGTGGTGGTCGGTCATGCTTTAATCGGGTCCACATCCTTGCAGATCTCGAAGTTGATGGCTGCCGCTCGCCTGTGAACCTTTTTTGAGCAGTCTCTCCGTGTCCGCCAGCTGCTGCACTTCTTGCTTGATGTCGTAATACGCTCATTCGGCTCCTCGTTGTGCCAGAGTGTCCGCTATTTCGTTGCCAATGCTGATCTCAGACGACTGCTTCGTCTTGGCTATGGACTCGCTGTCGAGGTGGGAGCAGCATTTGATGACTCTGACTCCGTCGTCGCGCCCTGGTCTTCTTTGAATCAGTTGGCCTATTCTTTGCCACCGCCCAATCATTGTTCCTTGCGGCCTCTGGCAACGCTGCCGGTGCCAACCATTAGCCACTTGCTGACAGTCCGTGTAGATGGTGATGGGACCTTTGGTCAGCATGAGGGCCCAGAACAATGCCGCATGCTCTGCTGCAGGTACTGATTGTTCGCCATCAACTGTGCCAAAGTGTCTTTTGTGCGTCGTGCCTTCGGTTCTTCCATCATTCAGGGATCTGTCGTACAGTAAAACGGGCTAGGCGCCAGCGCCACGCACTGTGCCCCCGCCTGCTGTGGAAGGGGTGCCCTGGGCGCTGGTCCTTTGCCCTGGCGACTTGAACCCGAGGCGCGGGCCTGCCAAGCTCCGCTCCTCGCGATTTGCCATATGCTGCTGTTCATGATCGGGTCCTGGTTGTCCGCCGTCTTCATCGTCTGAGTGGCCTTTGAGCTGCGTGCGTTCCACTCTTCCAGCATACGGGTTGGAATCGTCCAGCAAGACAGGCTGGGCGCCAGCACCTCGCACTGTGCCCCCGCCCCCCGTGGAAGGGGCGCCCTGGTTGCTGGTCACCTGCCCAGGCGACTTGAACCCGAGGCGCGGGCCTGCCGCGCTCCGCTTCTCGGGGTTTGCCATGGAATGCTGTGCGTCATCGTAATACTCCGGATGAACTTCTTCGAAGGCAGGTGTTCGATTCTGCAGTATTTGTCGGACATGTTTTTGGTGTTTGACTTCTCGGACTCTGGCCCACCAACGTGCAATGTAAAATTTCACGTTCTCGCCCATGTAGTGTTTGAAGATGTCCGAATGTCGCTTGTCTTCGGTTCCTCGTTGTAGACTATGGTCCATCGCACACTTCCTTTGCTGTCTGGTTGACGTCCGTGGTATGGTATCTGTCTGTGAGCTGTTGTGGTAGGTCTGCTTGTTCAGGTAATTGCAGCCATGTCGCCATGTACGGCACACACCACATCTTCCAGCTAATCTCGCTGATCTCCTGGTCGCTGCTGAGGTCCACCGCCCAACGAAGAGGCCCAGGCGCCCATCCCATGTATGATGTCGAGCGCTGGTTGGTTAGCTGGGTCTGGTCTTGGTAGATCTGCCTGCTCCTTGTCGGTGGCTTCCTGCTTCTCGATGGCATGGCGACAGGGCGCTTCACATCCTGACCCTGTCATTGGTCTCTCTGTCGGGTTGCGTGGCTGAAGTGCGACACCACAACCAGCACGATTGATACTCCGGATTCCAAAATAAAGTGGGGGGGTCACATTTGGGGGGGGGGGGGGGGGAACGGGCCGCCCTTTCATGGATGGTCTGGGGGGGTCTAA